TGTTTTACAGGCAAAAACAAGCAATTCACACTAAAATTAGAATAGCAAATATTATAATTCTATACTTATAATGAATTAAAATTCAGCTGTGTACAGCGTCTGATGAAGCACATTTAAGAGCAAGGAATAAATATTATGGAACACAAAACATAATTATGGCCTCAATGTAAAAGCACACGATGAGTTATATTTGCAAGACTTCAACGTATGAAAATACAACTTCCAACTGATCTGCATTACTTTTTAATGCATTAAAGAAAAAAAAACCCTCTGTTGTAATTTCTGATCACACTGCAGAAAACTGTGTTTTTGTGTTGTTCAGTGCAGATATCTAAAGACTCTTTAATCAAGATATATTTACCTACAAGTCTTGTTTTCCGAGAAGCTGATCAAAATTTACTCAAACTCGTGACATTATTTCTTCTGTGGAACACAAACAGAATTTCTGAAGAACGTTCCGCTGTTCTTTTTCAGTGATCACGACGGACAAGATCCAGAAGAAATCAGAGGAATCGGGTTTAAAACAACACGAGGGCGAGTAAATGATGATTTAACACCATATTCAAAACACACGACACGCATATAAACCAAACAAAATGACCAAAAACTGTCCCCGAACGATTAAAAGACTTGATCCTTTTTTCAACACAACAAACTGAATCAAAAAAGTCAAGACCGAGTATGAAAAGAGATCAGAAAAATATTTATTTAAAGCGACAGTCACAAATCTAGTCTCTCACACACACACACACACACACACACACGCTCTCTCTCACACACACACACACACTATAAACAGTCACATATAAAGGCTTATGAATCTCTGAAGTGTTAATAATCCTGCAGTGATTTATTGAGAAGCAGCGCCACCTGCTGAAACCACACATCTACATCATGGAAGTGAACTGGTGCGCTGATGCCCCGCGTGTCACGTGTTCCTGCGGCTCATGGCCTGCTGGATCTGCCGGTCGAGCTCAGAGATGATCCTGTCGTCATGCGTGTAGACGCCGGTGCGCAGCAGCGTGTCTCTCTCCTCCAGCAGACGTGTCACGTGTTCGTCGGTGCTCTCGCTCGCACACGCGTGTGCCGTGTCCCTCCAGCTGCGCGGCTCCTCCTGCGGCTTCAGCCTGACACAGTCAATCAAACAGGCTTGATTTAAAGTCCAAACACATTTAATATTGCTTTACACGGACTTTAAACATCTGATGTCAATCTCTACAGAGCAGCTCGTAAAAACAATATAATGAGAGCAAATGAGACTCAGAACTGCTGAAACATTATGACATTCTGACACTTACAACGTCAACAGAGTCAAAAAACCTCGGATGAATTATATGTATTGGTACATGGTAAAAAAAGGGTTAAGTTTTTTAAATTAGGTTGTAATACAGCAAAAATGGCCATGAACTTCACAAGAGTTAAAGCAAAAAAAAAAAAAAAGCACTACTCTTTTGGTTTTCAAGGACTAAAATCAGATCTCACTTATCACTTATCAAAAAATATTGTTATTGTCTTTCAAATTCTAATAAATAAACTAATAAAACAAATGGTACAAATAAAGTGCAGCACATGCAAAGAATGCAATGACTGTGGCAACTTTAACATTTGAAAAGATACTATGCCAAAGTTATCGCTTTCCTTATTCAAACTGATTATTTTTCCACGAGTATATGATTGACCTGAAGAATGAAAGCTATATCATACACTTGGAAAATTATGAGCTATATCACCGATTATCGACACTAACGTGACAATAAACTTAGCTCACGAGATGAGACAAAATGCATATACTTGGTTCAATAGAATGAGACAATGTTTTAATACTTTAAGAAATATTTGAATGACAAAATATTTGTCTTTTAATTACAAAAAGTAGAACAATGCAGTTATATTTTGAAATGTTTTAACAAATCTAGGGCATAACTAACACGCTCATAGACACTAGGGGTGTGACAATACACTTAGCTCACAAGGTGAGACAAAATTCAGATACTTGGTTCAATAGAACGAGACAATGTTTTAATACTTTAAGAAATATTTGAATGACAAAATATTTGTCTTTTAATTACAAAAAGTAGAACAATGCAGTTATATTTTGAAACGTTTTAACACATCTAGGGCTTAACTAACAATTATTTTGCAAATCAAGTAATCTGTGTGACAAGTATGTTTTAGTAATACGAATAAAACTAAGTGAAAAACAGGCTTTAATATGACTATATTTATA